TGACGAACCATGGAACCCCACAACTACCTTCACTCTCTTTCGCTCGCATGCTGATCCACTGCCATACTGCTACGCCAATCTTACAAACATACGCCACCAATTTACCTACCCTTCATTTGTATCATTCATCTCAATTGTTACTTGGTTTTTCAACGTTTAACAGGCGTACCTCCTCTGATGAAGTTGTTACCTTTCGTCACCTGAGCCACGCAACCCTCGACAGAGAGCTGCCATCTTCGCTACTGCAACCTGGAATGCAGTTCAAACTAGCATCCTTTAACTTATGCACATAGTTGCAGATGGGGTAGCAACCTGTAGACCCTTGCCGTCGATATCTGTTGCCTGAATGAAATATGACTGCAGGGTTCCAACACAGTCTACCAGCTGTCGTCACCGGTCCAACCACACAGCCACTTCGCATTTCTGGTGACGCTGAGTCTGTCGCATCTGGGCAACCTGGTGTTTGAACCACCCTCAGTACCAGAGCTGAGGCCGCCATTTTTGATTGGATTCCGGTTAACTGTCGCCTTTGAGCTATGAAGCTCCGTGGCTCTTACAAGCTTAGCAGACATCGAGCAGACGAGCGTGCTCTTTTTGTGATCTCCGCCTACTCTCCCACTGACGGCAGTTCGGATATAGTCAAGGACCAGTTCTATGAACATCTTCATGAGCTGCTCCTAAGGGCGCCCAAAAGAGACGTCATCATTATTGCAATAGACTTAAACAAACGTATTTATTGGCTGCTACTATGTGAATGCCACCTCTTTGGACAGCATGGGTATGATGATATTCGTCCTGACAACTGAAAGAGACTACTCAGTCTATGTGCTGACCACCGACTTCTTCTCTAGTACGAGCTTTCGTTACCCTGGACGCCACTATGCCTCCTGGTGTCCCCCATTGTCAACCCAACGTTGGTCATAAATTGATCACATAGCCATAAGTCACAGGTGACGTGGCACCGTACGCGATTGCAGATCATTTTGGTCAACGTGCGTTGAAACTGATCATGCATTGGTGTGTGCGACAGTTCGCATGCGTTTCGGTGGCTCACCTAGGGCCAAAGAAACCCGACTGAACACCCACAAGTCGGAGGACCCAGCGGTCGAAACACAGTATCAACAGATTTTTCTTGAAATTGCCACTTCCTCCTCTTCTCTGGATGTCGATCAACACCGGTCAAGTTTGCAACAAGAATGCTGTCCGCCGGCTTATTCAGCTACGACCTCACGCGCTTCACGACCCAAAACTGAATTTCTGTGAAATCCTCAGAACTGCTAAATCATCGACGAGCTGTGCCCGCTCGGTCTATCCCCCAACAGCTGAAATCAAACCCTCGCTCTGACCGTGAATTCTGGCGGTCAAAACGAGGTGATGAGATGGAGGCCGCTGCATCGACTGGAAATTTCCGCAATTTATTTTACCTGTCAGGATCACTGGTCGCAGTTCACATGCTGTCAGTCAGACAATTTGCGAGTTAGACGGCACGCAAATTACCAACTTATATCGGTGCTTGGGCCGCTGGGCAGAGCACTTGGCTTTCCAATTTAACTAGCCAGCACAGCCCACTTTGATACCGTTTCCCTCGGATGGTGCTTGGTCTGTCCTCACAGATCTTCCTACGAAATCAGATATCCGGAGCGCAATCCAATCTTCAAAATGTCATAAAGCCCCCGGCCCTGATAGCCTACTCCAGACTCTATTCCAAGATGACGGTAATACACTTGTCAGCGAAATTCTGTCACTGTTCACGAAGGCTTGAACTGACGGTGATGCTTCAATTGCATGGGAGGAATCGGTCCTTACCCCGATTCACAAGTAAGGCTCACGCGAAGATTGTGCCATTTACCGTAGGATTTTGTTGTTCTCTGTTCCGTCCGATTTTCTTACCTATCCTACTCCCCAGGTTTTCAGGGATTAGTGGAGGTGTTTCCCGAGAGAAACAAGCCGGTTTTCATCCAGACTGAGGTTGCATCGATCAAATATTCACACTCCGCCAACTTATTGAATTCCATCACATCCACCGACGGCCAACAAACATAGTGATCTTGGGTATCCGAGTGGCATTTGACTCGGTAGACAGATCTACGGTGTGAAACTGTGTGCCCGACAAGTTTGTAACCATCCCGTTGGTACTCTACAGCCACACGTCGGGCAAAAGCTGGGCTTACAACAGGCTTTCCTCTCCGTTTGCTGCTACCAGCGGCGTACGCCAAGGTTGCTCCTATTTCCCCTTTTCACTTTTGCCATCGAATATATCGCTCAACAAGCACTGGAAGGTTTCTAAAACTGCAGTGTTGGGCTTCTCCAAGGCGACAGAGTTGCGGGCTTGGACTACGCCGATGATGTCGCTTTTCTTGGGGACGATCCACACGCCTTCCAGAGCGCTTTGAACCGCTTAACGATGGAGGCGTCTAAGTATGGCCCGTACTTCACCCTAGGCATGTGCAAAATACTACTCCAGGATCGGCAGATGCCTGTGCCTGCTCTCACCATTGTTGTCGTTGGGCTTGCATCCGCATTAGACCTCCCTGCATGGTTGGCTTCCTACTTTGTAGTTTACCGGTCTTGTGCTTATACGAGGTTTTCAAGCGCGGATGAAGAGCTGAGAGTGGGACCCTTGTCGTGCTGGCTCACAACTGTGTTATGTCGAATCACGTGCTCCCTAAAAGCACGCGTTACGGGTGCACATGCAACATTACGTAGCTTTGGTGTAAATTTTGGTGCAATCAAACTCATATCTTGCGCACAACTTTGTGCTCACAATTTTTTTGTCCAGTGTATAAACTCTTGTCATGACCCGTCTTTTCGGAGTTCTCGACTCATTCCTGCATTGTGTCTTCCGTCTTTGGTTACTGCTTGCGTGGGCGGTTCTATTCATCGCCTATCCAGCGGCTAGGATCCATCATGTCGATCTGGCTTTGGTAATATTCTGTTCAGGTAATTTTTGTTGTTATCTGGTTCGTTCGGATTCGCCGATGTAACGAACTATCACTTAGGTCTTCTAAGTCACGAAGCTCCGCAAACAACCTTTTTCTTGGTCGTTAGCAATTCACTATCGGTTTTCGATATGTCTGCTGTGTTGTATTTGTATTCTGCCAAGCAGTCTCCAATGCTCCAGCTAAACTTCATGGAGTCCATGGAACCAGGGTTGAAACCGTCCGTGTTTGGAATAGAAAGGTTTAAAATGTCCCCGAACCGTAGCTCTTTCGCGCCGTGTTCGCTGTCTGTTTTTGTTTCCATCAGGGAATGTTAACCAGTTTGTCCATTATTATTCACACCTCAAATTAGGTATCATCATCTCAATTTCAAATCGCACATCCAGATTACCAGAAAACCGAGCTTATCTGATTCCCACAGATGGGAACTACTCAGTCTGCATCCGTGGATCAATGAAATGCTCAAAAATTTGCACCACGTTTAGATGCCGTCTGTTTGCGTATGCTGCCTAACTTTTCACAGCTTCTCTTTCTAACAGATAATGCGCTTTGGCGGGTTTCCTCTCAAGTTTTGATTTGCCTCCTTGTCCTGTTCCCCTATATTATAAGTCGGCTATGGGGTTGAAGCTGGAAATGTTGATGCAGCACAAGACATGCTCGACGTCCCTCCTCCCCCACATGCACAGACACTGTGGTGTAATGAATTGGAACCCCGGAAACAACCCTCATTTACCTCGAGTTCGCCCCTTTTCACCTGTTCACTCGAATTGGTATTAGGTTTTATTTCATTGCTCTTTTGGCTGACGTCTTTGTCTTTCATTTAATTGCAAGGCTTTGTGTTTGCGGTCGATGTGACTATTTTATGGTCATACCTAGCTTTTCTTGGGAGTCATTTGAAAATGTGTAACAAAAGGCTTGTTTCCACAAGTTGCCCACCCTCTCACACCAGCACTGCTTTCGGTTGGTGCATAGTCTAACAAATCGGTGGAATGGCTGCAACCACTTTAGTGTTTAAATCTATGATGGTTCTGCCGAGTGTGCCGATGGGGCCGCTTATGCTTAAAATGGGAAATCTGTTTGTACAATTGTGAGCGTTTTTATAACGCTGTTTGACGCCACTGCTACTGTAGGAATCTGAGACACCCGCTGTGTGACCGTCTGCTTCCGATAAGTATAATTCGTATCCGAGTTACTACTGAGTATCTATTGTTGCAGCCTGTGATCTGTTGTGTGACGATAGACTGTCTTACTGCGCCAGACAGTCTGGTACGGATTCACGTCTTATACGGGTTAGGTGCTATCCTTCGCCTACCTCCCGATTGAATATCCTCGCACGCTTTTATTTTACCGATTTTTCCCTTTTTTCTATACTGTTCTGCTGCCGAACAGTTTAGATGCATAATCATTTGCGACTGGAGGGTCGAGACTTTCCACCCGGTATCCTTTTCGTCAACCTTTAAACGATCGGGCTAACAACGGTCTTTGATCAATAACCGGAATACGCCTCTAGTGCATGCCATCTACTCAAGAAATGAACTTAGCCTGTCGTCTACCAGTCATCATCTTTAATCAGCGATAGAAATTTTTCGTATTCGATTGCGGGCCTTTTGTTCTGCTCAGTTGTCACTGTTTTATTTTACACTTATGTAAATCCATGGCGTTTTAGTGTTATTAAAGTCATCGTCTTTCTATGTTTTACCTAAAAGGCAGTGAGAACAATCTTTTGTATCGGCGAGGATGGTAAAAACTCTTGTTATCTGCCTGCATCTGATGTCCATTAGTCCGTGAGCGTGTTCACATAGTGACAATCAGTCTAACTGCTTGCGCACCAAGTGCGCATGGGAAACCGTGTTACATTTAAGTCATCGATGTGAGTGCTAACATCATGGTTTTAGATCATTCCATCTATTACATCGCGCTGTAAATGGGCTTTAAATTTCACCAATGGTTGACACTATCGTGACTTTCGTTTGATTACAGCCAGTTGTCTAGCCTTTCATTCCCACATTTCACTATCATTTTCTACTTTGTACTCTCCTCTCTCTCTTGACTGCACTACAGCGGCGAGTGATGCCACGGCCACCACCACCGAAGCAGTGGCGACGGCAAACTCCCCATTGACCGGGATTATTTCTCCCTTCAGTATATTTGAAAAACGTCCCACAGAATCTATTTTCGGTCAGAGGGAACAGCCGCAGATTTCCGACCATCAGGTAACTTCACATTAGTGTTGTTTGCTTCTCCTCTTGTTTTGACGTTGAGATTCATTTCTGTTATATTGATTCACCTTTCGCATTCGTCATGTTGCGTCTGGACAGATGTACTGCCCCGTCGGACATCTTGGACTGTTTCATTTGCTCTTTCTTCAGTCATATGTACTTGCTTCCGGGTCCTGTTTGATAGGTGTCGCCCTCAGGAAGTAGAGCATTGCAGTTCGTATCTTGTAAATCACAATTCCTCTGCTGCTGCTTTCCCTTTCTACTGCGTGACAGGTGATGGCTATTCCACCGGTTTTCCAAACGGTTTGGTCCCTAATTAGGCGCTTTGCCTTTGGTCCATAACTCCTGGGAATGTGCTCTACGCTTACGAAATGTCCGTCTTTGCTTCTCTGTGCTCAGTCAAATGCTATCCGTTGGGAAGTTTTCCTTGGACAAGGCATGATTCTTTCATGCGACTAGTGAGCGAGTATCGGGAGTTTAGAGGACATGCTTTCATTTTAGCCAGTGCCATCGACTATTTAGTTGGGTGCTTCGGTTCACGGACTATCCAGTTGCAAGTTTATTGTGGTTCATCTTTTAGATGGGATTTCTCTGAAATCTGCCGGTTTTCCCCTAATTCCACTTCGATGGCTTATTACTCACTGGACACAAACACTGGTGTCTCTACTGCGTTGCTCACCATGCTTCATCGTTCCTCAAGTGACGGGTAACACAGTGTTTCTTGTACTTATTTCTCAATTCTAATTGGCACGCTCGTTGGAGCACACTGTCTCTCCTAACCAACTCTCTGGGTTACGCGACGGTCTTTGTACCTCTCCTATCCAGTGTGCTATGCTACAAATGCCTGTTAACTGTTGTGATCACATTACGCGATGAATCTTGCGTATCCGCTGATCTCCATCGTTTTATGTTTGCTCTGTGTCTAGTTGATAGACTGTTGAGATTACATACATACTCAGTGGATAATAGTCTACTATTAGATTTGGAACTGGCTTGACACCCATTTCTTTGGATATAGCCACACTTCAATGAACAAGATTCTGTCGTTGGATTACGCCGACGTCTCACTGGTTCTCACCGCATAAACACTGTACATGGTCGATCACTTTTTTCTCTGACGGTGGCATCATCGAATAGGTTGCTACGCACATAACTGAACTTGGTATAGCCTTTAAAACCCTCCCTTATGTATGGAATCCGCGGAATTATAAACCTAAATCCATAACCACGTTAATGTGCAGTGTTGCAGAATGAATCAGAAGCCTGGCCACTGGTCTCTGTGCGCGGTGATAGGAGACTGCTAGCGTTTGACGACTGTAGCTTGCATATACTGTTGATGTGAGAGAACCAACTGAACCATACTGAAGTCCGTCATTTCCTCTTTAACAACAAGCCCCACCCCCGTTGTGAAGGGGTTTCAATATTGCTCCTCCCAACACACACTCCACGCCTGGTTTCGTCCTCCTCTGAACTTGACATGTAGAAGTAGCCTTACCTTTGGGTGGAACTCGAGGCCTAATGGTTAACGGCTGACGTCTTGATCACCAAGCCGCTGAGATCCGTGAGCAACGCGGGATACAGCGGTTAAGAATTTAAGTTGCGTTTGGAGGACCTGCTGTGTGGTCGGTGTGCGACAGGTGATCTCCATTGAAATGCGTCAGCTTATACGCCGTAACGGCGCTTCAATGCCGCGCGACCATCACAAGTCGCGCGAGGGCTGAGTATACCGCGAGGACGCCCACCCCTACGCGGATTCGAACCGGTGACCTTATGGTTGCAAAGCAAACATGGCCCTCCGTTGCCTATTCGGTGTCAGGTGAACTCGATTCTTGGTCAAGTACTCCGCGTGCTTGCAAGGTAGATGGTTGCGTCGGCATGTATTATTTGCTACTAATGCATCTTGCCAGATGAAGCCCGAGATGACCAATCAACTATATGTAACAGTATGAGGAACTCATCGAAAGGCTGAGTCGGGTTGGTGCTTGTTGTCCTTCCCATTGGAGTCTTCGAAATCAGCAAGATCAGCGGTTAGACACCTTATTGGATATGGCGCGGCCACGAACTTAGTAGTTCTCTTGTACCCAATTTCTAAATTGTGATTCTTAACGATCTCATATGACGGTTTTAATTTTTGCGCATTTCCTTGAGTTACCAGTACCATTGTTGTTAATGTCGGCGGCATGCTCCATTATAACTTGATCCAGCGAACCACGGCTCGCGGATCATGGTTGACGAGCCGAAATTAACGGAACTGGTCCGGGCTACACCGAAATTAGTGTGCATCAATGATGATGATGATGATGATATATATATATATATATATATATATATATATATATATATATATATATATATATATATATATATATATGGTTGGCGGCATCCGGATTCGGATTTGCCTATCACTTTGGCCAACCACGGGACGCCTGCACCTACAGAGGGACCATGGATGGCTTGCGCCGCATTACCCACAACTCCAACCACACACCCCATATCCAGTGTAAACCCGAAGAAATAAGACCGGGAGGCATGTGGATGGGAGCCACGTTTCATCTACGGAGCCGGCCCACACTCCTTCACAGACAAACACAAGCACGCTGTATTTGTGGAATCAAGTGCACACAAGGCGGTGGCTGGACCGTAGTCCGCTCCACACTGAGTGCATGGAACCACTCTTCTAGCCTAGCGCGACCACAAGAACCGTGCACCCCGTCCCCTCCAGCTACGACCAACTGTGTCCTGGAGCCAGTATGGACGAAGTAGTGGGTAATAGACAGATAGACACCTTGTCAACATGCACATCAAACGCAGCCACACCTGGGATGTTAAACAACAACCAATCACACAAAATGCCGATATCGAGTAAAGCAAATGCATATGACAATATAGATACTCGCTAAATGAGCATATGGAAGAAATTGGTTAAGTGTAAATCAGCGATAAGTACATAACGTCCGAATTATTTTAAAATGAATACCACGCGGTACAATTACGCAAGTTTACCACAATTTGCATGAGCCACGTGTGCAAGTTGGGAGGAGATTATCAAGTACGCAGAACAAACCAAATAAAATGTAATGAATTTTATCCACATTAAAAAGACCTAGTTTAAGTGTAAGTTGGTTTAGCCCAACTGCGATGAAGAAGCATCATGAATGCAACATCAGCCTCAGCATGGGGCATATATATATATATATATATATATATATATATATATATATATATATATAGTTGCAACAGTCTATGAATAGACATTGAGCCATCGGAAACCATGGAACTCAAAACAAGGTACAGAAATAGTAAAAGACAACACAACACATCAAATCCATGGGTTCGTCAGAGGGCGAGATACTACGCGGTTGCCCAAGCCGAAGTAGGGTGTTGACTTAGGTGACACCACCCCGAGCCTTTGGCTGAATAGCCTGCCCGCAAGGCAGTGGAGCGAATTCAGGGAATCACACCCATTGGGAGCCGGTGACTGATTCCTCAGTTCATACGCCTGTCGTTTGTTCCTTTGTCAAGCAGTGGCCCAGTGCTCCCCAAAATTACAGCACAAAGTTACTGGAATACAATGCTTCGCCAGGATGAAGCAAGGGGCAGTGACTTTATTTAGTGGCGAGTCACGTCACGGCACAGTGTTGTTACACGGACACATGTGGTTTTTTGTAGGGAGAACGCTTGCCAGGCGAAAACCCACCACCTCCTGGAATACTGCCGCCGGTCTCCTGCTTTGGGAAGTCGGGCTGATCAGAGTGCACGCTAGCAGCAGGTCATCGGTAGGTCAGCCGAAACCATAACATATATTTTTGGCGACGGAAGGTAGTGGATCAAGATGTCAATTTCAGCGGAAGATCTGAAAATCATTTTGTTGCAGCAACAGCAGCAATTTGAAACAGCACAGCTGCGTATGATTGAAACCCTCACCCAAATGTTATCTGTGCAGCCTACGGTCGTTCAGAACAATGGGAAGCCTTCGGCGGATGCGATGATCAGTAGTGTTAATGAGTTCATATTCGATCCTGACTCAGGATTAATATTCGATGCGTGGTTCAGGCGCTATGAAGATGTTTTCAGGGCAGAGTTGTCAGGTCTCGATGATGCATCTAAAGTTCGCCTTTTGTTACGAAAACTCGGAACGGTTGAACATGACAGATACATTAACTACATTTTGCCAAACAACGCGCATGATTTCAGCTTTGATGATACAGTTGCTCGACTCACAGCGTTGTTTGGAGACCAGTCGTCTCTTTTCAATAACCGATACAATTGTCTAAAGCTATGCAAAAAGGACAATGACAGTCTTATTGCTCACGCGGCGATAGTCAAACGTGAATGCCAGAAATTCAAACTGAAGTCGCTCACGGAAGACCAGTTCGAGTGTTTGATACTAGTATGCAGTCTACAGTCCCCAAAAGACGCCGAGATACGAACGAGAATACTTGGTATGTTGGAACGCGACACAGATGTTACATTACAAAACGCCATTGCTGAAGCCCAAAGAATCATGAATTTAAAGCACGATACGGCTATGGTGGAAGATTCGAGAGCACATTCCGCAGATATATCTGTCTAGCAAATTTCAGGAAACAACCCACCGACCGCTCAACCTAGCAGATATCCACAATCCAAACCCCCATCACCTTGCTGGCAATGCGGAGGATGGCATTTTGTGAGATGGTGTCCTTTCAGCAAACATGTTCGTCAAAGGTGCTTTAGACGGGGGCACAAGGAGACCCACTGCAGATTCAAAACATCATTTAGATCGTCATGTGATACTCGAAAAGCAGGTTACCGAAGGTTCGCGACAAGAGTAAACGCTAACTATACGGACGATGTTAAAGATAGAAGAAAGTTCGTCACTATTACCATCAACGGAAGAGTAGCGCGTCTGCAGATTGATACGGCTTCCGATATTACAGTCATTACGGAAAACTTATGGAAAGCTATCGGTTCACCTGACATTAAACCAACTAACCATAAAGCGAAGAGCGCAT